TTTCTTATGATTTAGTGTATAATTAAAGATTTAAAAAGTTTTAATTATTAATTCCGAAATAGTTTTCTGTCATTAATTGATCATTTAAGTGGTATCTGATTATAACTAAATACAGTTTAAATTAAATAATTTTAGTTATTTCAGATTTTAAAGTTTTGCAGCTCTAATAAATTGTAAAATAATCTTAAAACGTTTGTCATAAAAGAAACGTTACCATTTCATTTCTAAATAACTTTTAGATGAAACAATATAAATTTATATTTTTTTACAGTTGCATGCGAGGCTGCAAACTCGGATTAACGAAATTGAATATAAACAAATCGTGATTTAAGAATTTAAGTTGGCAATTAATTAAAAAAAAATACTAGACGTAATTAATGTCAATTAAAAGTTTTAAGTAAATAATTATAGATAAATGCACTTTTGTTCAATGTAATTGCAATAGGATTTTCTTTTTCTTATGATTTAGTGTATAATTAAAGATTTAAAAAGTTTTAATTATTAATTACGAAATAGTTTTCTCATTCATTAATTGATCATTTAAGTTGGTATCTGAATTATAACTAAATACAGTTTAAATGAAATAATTTTAGTTATTTCAGATTTTAAAGTTTTGCAGCTCTAATAAATTGTAAAATAATCTTAAAACGTTTATCATAAAAGAAACGTTACCATTTCATTTCTAAATAACTTTTAGATGAAACAATATAAATTTATATTTTTATACAGTTGCATGCGAGGCTGCAAACTCGGATTAACGAAATTGAATATATACAAATCGTGACTTAAGAATTTTAGTTGGCAATTAATTAAAAAAAAATACTAGACGTAATTAATGTCAATTAAAAGTTTTAAGTAAATCATTATAGATAAATGCACTTTTGTTCAATGTAATTGCAATAGGATTGTCTTTTTCTTATGATTTAGTGTATAATTAAAGATTTACAAAGTTTTAATTATTAATTCCGAAATAGTTTTCTGTCATTAATTGATCATTCAAGTTGGTATCTGGATTATAACTAAATACAGTTTAAATTAAATAATTTTAGTTATTTCAGATTTTAAAGTTTTGCACCTCTAATAAATTGTAAAATAATCTTAAAACGTTTGTCATAAAAGAAACGTTACCATTTTTTTTAAGTAAATCCTTATAGTTAAATGCACTTTTGTTTAATGCAATTGCAATAGAATTTTCTTTTTCTTATGATTTAGTATATAATTAAACAGTTTTAATTATTAATTCCGAAATAGTTTTCTGTCATTAATTGATCATTTAAGTTGGTATCTGGATTATAACTAAATACAGTTTAAATTAAATAATTTTAGTTATTTCAGATTCTAATTAGATAGCAACTAAAATAGTTCATTTAATTAAAAGCAAGCTAATTAAAGTTTTAATTAATCATTGTAGCTTAATTAATATATTCGAATTGTTAATAAAGTAATAAAAACTTTATTACCAACTTAAACTATTTATTTAAACAAATTTATGTTTTTTTTTTCTTCTTATAGTTAAATAAAGATGCGAAGTAACTCAAACAGTTGTTGTGTATTGAAATATTGTATGCAGATGATAAATTCTGAGATGGATCGGTTCAGAAGAATGTAAATAAAAGACGGAACAGTTCGGTAAATAATTTTTTTTTGTTGTTGGTATCGGAACATATTTCACGTTGTTATTTATTTCCGAACGTGGAATTCCACTAAAGGTTTTCTCTCTCTTTCTCTTTCACTGCTGTCATGTACATAATATCGATGTAATCCGTTCGCCATATATGATTTACGATGTTTTCCTTTCCAGCAAACAATGATGTATATTTATTGCGAGCGGCGTTCGAATGCCAGATGAAATAATGCGTTTTTATGGGGGGGGGGGAAACACACGTGGACCGATTTCAATTTAATATCAAATCGTTCCTATTTTTTCCTTGTTAATGGCGTCGAAAACTGTCCAAATTCCATTTCGGTTAGATTAATGGAATTTTGTTGCGCTCTCAACCAATCGGACGGTAGTTGTGACGCCATCTGCGAACAACGTTCGAAGCTTTCTTTTGTGTGTGTACGTGCACTGTTTAATTAACGTCTCGTTGACAGTTTGCTTACGTGGTTGGTATTTATGCTCGTTAGTTATCCTGTATCCTGGTTACGGCAATACACCGGTTGACAGCTGATGCTTTTGTTTATTGTTCGACGTTGATCGACCATTTTGTGCAAGAGACGAAACGATTCAGGAGAGGAAGGATTCGGTGGTGGTGGTGCGCGGTTCTCGTTAGGAAATCGATGGAAGGTAAATATTCTTTGGAGTTAATTAAATTTCAGCGGCGTAAATATTTGAGCGCTCGCATCAAAAGTCCCTTTTATATATACATATACATACATAAAAAAAAAGCACGAAAAACAACGTATCAGCGAAATCCAATGCACCGAACACTTGATAACACCGCCATCAACCGTCAAAGACGTCCTTGATTCGCGAACGCACTTCAACACTATTTCTATTTAGTTGATGCAATCCATTTGATTACATAAATTTAGGTTAAGGCAAAATTCACGCGCGAAAGACAATAGGTTAAAACAAAAGAAACTGTGTGACTTCAAGCACTACTATTTTTTTATTGGGTCTATATCGTAAGCCCGACAACCGAAATCCCGACGTTCGAAATCTCGACTGTATCGAAATCCCGACAACCATAATCCAGACTATATTAAAATCTCGACGTTTGAAATCCCGACTATATCGAAATCTCGACTACCATAAAAATGTTATTGTAGAAATTTATAATAATAATAAAAGACACTGTCGGGATTTCGATATCGTCGGGATTATGGTAGTCAGGATTTCGATATAGTCGGGATTTGGAAAGTCGGGATTTCGATACACTCGGGATTTCCAACATTGGGATTTCGATAGACCGGATTTCGATTGTCGGGCTTGCGATTGCCACCGTTTCTTATTAACTTTCACTTCATCACTCAGCAAATATTTAATCTCGCGAAATACACATATCGTTCCGTTTAATGATTGACCATTGTTTGAAATGTTTATTTGCTTATCTTGCCTCAGATTATATTACTTTTATTTTTGTTTCGTTTTTCGTTATTTGCATGCGTTTTCACAACTAACGCAATTGCTTATTATAATAGCTACAGTCGAGATTTGGAACGTCGGGATTTCGGTTGTCGGGATTTCGATTTCGGATGTCGGGCTTGCGATTGCCACCGTTTCTTATTAACTTTCACTTCATCACTCAACAAATATTTAATCTCGCGAAATACACATATCGTTCGGTTTAATGATTGACCATTGTTTGAAATGTTTATTTGCTTATCTTGCCTCAGATTATATTACTTTCATTTTTGTTTCATTTTTCGTTATTTGCATGCGTTTTCACAAATTTGCTTGTTATAGTAGCTATAATATTGTAATTATTAAACGAGTTTACTTTGAAAACAAAGTTTTCTATGGACGATGAAAATGTAACAGTTTCGATGGAAAAAATTGAGTTTAGCAAGTGAATTTGGTGTGAGCACTATTATTTATATTCGTCGTTTATTTTTTTTTGGTTGAAATTTTAGATGGCTTTTATATTTCAAATCGATTTTTGATGCCTTTTCAATTGAATACGGAACTAATGGTTCGGAACTGATTGAACGGCTATTGATTTGATTAAGTTCACGAGGAGAGTGGAAAAAGAAAGAAAAACGAGAATGAGAGCGAGATCAATTTTTTTTTCTATTCTTTCTTTAATTTTCTTCTTTTGTAATTTTCTTCTTTTACAATTTTCTCCATTTTGCATACAGTAAATATTGGAGCAATTTGAGGAACGGGGGGTGGTTTTGCAGGGTAAGAACGTAATTAGCCGCGCGCTGAACGGCTGCGGCTGGCATGGTAAGTTATGGGTCCCAAATGGTGGCTGAGAACGGACTGTTTCGATTAACCGTGATTCGCGGGGGAAAATCGTCGAAAGAAGAGGATGAAGAGGCGTGAGAGATAATTAAACTGGATGTGGACGAAATCCGGAATTTCATTTTCCAGAACGCTTTGTGGTATTAGGAGAAGATGATCGTTCGGGATGAGGAGGAACGTGGTGTGGTTCATTAGCTCAAATCTACGAGGAGATTCGCTTAATGCGTTCACATTTTTCGTGGATGGTTACTTTTTTTTTCCCTCATTCGCTTCATGGGGGATGTGTATTCAATGGTTGGCAATAAAATCACCGCACATAACGCTTCCAGCTATATCGAGGGTTGGGAATGCGCGCCGCTCGAAGGGAGTTAACGACGTCTTCGGGGGTGCTTATCACCTAGAGATAAGTGCCCTCTCGCAGAAAGAAACAACTTTTAATAGCGCCGTTTTCGGATTAGAGCCTCGCACTGTTGTTGGTGTCGGTGGATTTCCCTTCTTCAAAGAGTAATTACGAAACTGGGAATCACCATGAAGATGCATCTTCGAGATAAAGAGAATTTTAAATTATAACTTTTATTTATGGAGACGACTATTATCGTAGAAGCGTATTTTCTCGATGTTATAAAAAGAAATGTATATTTAGTAGTTCTGTGTTAAATTTAGCGATTATAATGGAGGACGGGATTAAAGCCGGGGATGAGACTAAGATGGATTGCGCGGACGGCGGCGCGGGACCGCTTTCATCCGGCGCTGCAGTATCCGAAGAAGCCGCTGGGGATTTAGCAGACGGAAATGCAAATAAAGTGGCATACAAAAGCGATTCATCAGGCAATATTACGGGCGTGTCATCTGCGATCCCAGATGTAGTAACGAACGGAGAGGCGCAGAGTAAATCATCGAGAAATCTACGAAAAAAAAAGACACCTAGGGGATAAAGCTTTTCTCTTTATTTTTGCAGATGCGCCCAATCGGGAATTAGACATTGGGAAAATGAAAGACGAACAATTGGAAGCAATCAAGCAGCAACAGCAAGAGGAGTCCCTGGAGGAGTTCATACGTGATGATGAACTATTGGTCGATGATAAGGATTCCTGTATGGTGGAGAAGATTTCGGTACAGCCGGAAGCGCCGAAACGGAAGCTGCAGTCGTGCGCGATTTGGGTGTCGAACATTAATCCGGAAACGAAGGCGAGCAGCTTGAAAGTGGAGCTGACCAAGTACGGAAAGGTGCAGAACGCTCGGATAGTCACCAATGGAGAGAAGTACTATGGTTACGCTCTTCTGGAAAGCGCGGAGAGCGCGAAACTCTGCATCGAGCAGCTCAATCGCAAACCCATGAACGGGTTTGAAGTGCAGATCAGTTTCGATCCGCCTACAAAAAGGAAGAGCTGTGAGCAAGCTGCGAAACGCACGGAATCTAGAGAGTTCTCCAGGCATATCAGTAAACGGCGAAGGAGGTCTGCTTCGAACGACGATCCGTTGACATTGAAGGTGTCCTCTTCGAGGAAGAGGAGCAGCGAGAAGAGGTCCAGGTCTTCGAGTAAACAGCGTAGCCGTAGAGGAGGATCACGCGAGTTCGAGACGAACAGGCAACGCGAGATCGAATTGCGAATCGCTATTGAGAAGAGGAAGTTGGCTAAGGAGAAGCGGCAGCTGGAGTACGAGAAACTTGAGTTCCTGAAGTTTCAGAAACGCGTTCAGGAGTACTCTGTGAACGATCAGGTGAAGAAGGAGGTGCAACGGCTGGAGGAATTGCGGAGGGCCAAGGACGATGAGATGTTGAGGAAGAGGATTCTGGTGGAGAAGACGAAGAGAACGCCGTCTCCGAGGAGCAAGTCTTATAAGAAGCGAGTGGATAAGACTGTGCCACCTCCACCCCGTTTGACCCGGGACGATTTCAGCAGCAGGAGGAGCTGGGCCAAGCAGAAGGTTGAAAATAATCTCCCCCGAGATTACAAATACGAGTCGACGCGGAAACAGGATTACAGGCATAACTATCAATCGGACCGGAAGCAGAGGTACGTTTATCCGGAGGCGAAACGCGCCGAGGATAAGTACAAGGATAAGAGCAAGGATTCCGGCAAGGACGCGACCTGCAAGACGATGAGAAGCGAGGTGTTCGTGGCGTCGTCTTCGTCTGCGCTGGCGGCGGCGGCGTCGACGCCCTGCAGCAATTTCCAATACGGCGGCGGAAGCGTCGGCGTTTCGTACCCTACGGCGTATCGCGGTTACAATCCGCAGCCGCCGCCACCTGTCGAATACCATCCACCCCCGCAGCACATCCCCGTTTCACACACACAGAACAATTGGAACGATAGACAACAGCTGTATCATAAAGATTACGCGTCATCTGGGAGCAGATCGTCGGTGCACGTCGAACACAACAAGTACGACGATTACGACAAGAGGCAGCAGCCCACATACTTCAACTCGAACAGGAAATATTGATTAAAGCGACCTCATAAATACTAATAAGATTACTTCCACCAAAAGCTAATACCTCTTTCCTTCAATAAGTTACAATGTTATTTTGTTCATCTCCTTTGGAGAATTGAAGTTAACAATACAAATATTGCTCATATTTATTTTATATATTTTAAAAATACTGTTAATAACTCCTCAAAGTCAATACAAATACTACATTTGCTATCCTAATTAAAGCAACTTAATCCAAGTGTTTAATGTTCAAATTAATTCTAATGATACAATGAATTAATTCATGAATTGATACAATGTGTGCTAACGGATGAAAAGTGAAGATTTCAATGGGGATAAATTGTTAGATTTGTAGTTTTTCCTAATTAAAGAATTTATTTATATATTTTAAAAATACTGTTAATAACTCCTCAAAGTCAATACAAATACTACATTTGCTATCCTAATTAAAGCAACTTAATCCAAGTGTTTAATGTTCAAATTAATTCTAATGATATTATACGTTTCATAATTCATGAATTGATACAATGTGTGCTAACGGATGAAAAGTGAAGATTTCAATGGGGATAAATTGTAGTTGAATAGATTTGTAGTTTTCCTAATTAAAGAATTTATTTATATATTTTAAAAATACTGTTAATAACTCCTCAAAGTCAATACAAATACTACATTTGCTATCCTAATTAAAGCAACTTAATCCAAGTGTTTAATGTTCAAATTAATTCTAATGATATTTATTTTACGTTTCATAATTCATGAATTGATACAATGTGTGCTAACGGATGAAAAGTGAAGATTTCAATGGGGATAAATTGTAGTTGAATAGATTTGTAGTTTTCCTAATTAAAGAATTTATTTATATATTTTAAAAATACTGTTAATAACTCCTCAAAGTCAATACAAATACTACATTTGCTATCCTAATTAAAGCAACTTAATCCAAGTGTTTAATGTTCAAATTAATTCTAATGATATTATTTACGTTTCATAATTCATGAATTGATACAATGTGTGCTAACGGATGAAAAGTGAAGATTTCAATGGGGATAAATTGTTAGATTTGTAGTTTTTCCTAATTAAAGAATTTATTTATACATTTTCCCATTGCAAATGTCTTGTTTCAATAAATATAAATCGTAACGTCTATGCTTGTAGCACTGAATAATTCCGATGTTGCTGTTCCTCGTTTTCCTCTTCCTCGGCGCGTAATGGAATTAATTTTGAAGAGGGTTTTAGAGACAATTAGTAGGAATGAAGATGGATTCTTGTTTCGGGGAGCGAGCGAGTGAAGGCAACCCAGATGGGACCGAATTGAAATGGAACGAGTGACAGACAGGTCAATGCAAGAAACGGCGACGTGATTGGAGAGCGGTTTCGTAATTAAGCATTGATAAGGAAAAGGAAGAGAGACGAAGGAAGGAAGGAAGGAATGAAGGGTTTGAGGGATGTTTTAAAGGCGGCCATTCGGATAAATCAATTAACCCCAAGTCGCTCGTTATCATGAGAAGCGAACTGCGCTTTATCTCAATTAGTTATCCAGACTAGAAGAAGATATACACCGCGCCAACACACACAAACTCTTCAGCAAGTTGCGACCAAGTCTTGAGCGTGGATTAATCCCGAGCGGGTTTATTTAAGGCAGACGCCAAGTGAGAGAAAGAAAGAAAACGTGTATATGCAAATGAAGAGATTAAATATGAAATAATGGAAAAGTTTTATCTTCACTTCTTCCTTCTTTATCTTATTCTTCTATTATCACTATTTCGTCTTTAACTCTTTGAATCGCCAGAAATAATTAACTTTTTGGGGCATTTTCTAAAAAGTCTGTTTGTTGTTACAACTTTTTTCATTCGTTCTAATTTCAATTTGTCAACTTTGAAATGTATCTATACTTGCTGGATTCCCTAAACATTCAGCTTTCATATGCATATATTGGATTCATTCTATCTATTATAGTTTTCGAGTAAATCAATGAAATGTGAAGACACTGCTTTTTCGAATGTTTTAATTTCAATTTGTCAACTTTGAACGCGTATTACAGCAATATGGATAAGAGCATAGGAATGTATCTATACTTGCTGGATTCCCTAAATATTCAGCTTTTATATGCATATATTGGATTAATTCTATCTATTATAGTTTTAGAGTAAATCAATGAAATGTGAAAACACTGCTTTTTCGAACGTTCTCATTTCAATTTTTCAACTTTGAACGCGTATTACAGCAATATGGATAATATCACAGGAATGTATCTATACTTCCTGGATTCCCCAAACATTCAGCTTTCATATGCATATATTGGATTCATTCTATCTATTATAGTTTTCGAGCAAATCAATGTGATTCAGATCGTCATAGCGCAAAACGTGAGATTGCAGAGAAGCTCAATGTATCGTATAATTGCATTTACAAAAATGAAAACAGCTTGGCAAAAATTTTGAATTTTCCTTCTTACTTAAAATACACAATCAATTAGTTACCAAACCAATAGATAATTGTATTGTTTTCTTGAGAGAAATGGGGTGCAAATTAAATACTTGACTTCTATGATTTATGTTGCGATCCTGGAGGTTACTTGTAAATTACAATAAATTTTTCTTGTGGAATTATATAATTTAATATAGATTTTCGAAGCCTGTCATGTTTGATTCGAACTCGTAAAAGAAATAATCTTATAAATGGATTTTCCTTCACTCCATTTTGCAGCCAAGTTGCAATAATCAGATTATACTTCGGTTACTTCTAGTATTTTCATTTTATTTGCATTATTAAACATTATTCATCAACATTATTAAAATTATTTTCTTTTTGCAAATAACATGATCACTTGGTATTTATAGTCGTCTTTAAAGTAACGGAAACATTCGCTATTTGGAGAAACCACATTAAATTAATTCTCTTTTCTGGACTTCGATCTTAACAATGGAGAAAACCGTAGGCAATAATCATAAATATAAAGATTATACGCTAATTTAATTTGTCTTCTAAACATTGTTAATTCGCTCTAAGCTAGAATTAATTTAAAAACAGCGTATAAGCAAAATATTATACTGCTTTATGTAACCTTTAATTTTATTGTTTGATTTATATTAATTATTTCTATCGGATTAATTAATTTTCAGAAATAATATGAGAAGTTTAAAAAGAAGTTCAGTTTTAACTAAAAATTTGTGCAAATGTCATCAAAGAAAGAAATAGATGTCATCAATTTCTTTTCGTGTTTTCAACTAATTTTAGTTTGACTACAAATTGTATGTTTATAGGAAAAACTATATTTTAAAATTGTCTAGATCAGCGTTTCTCAACCTTTTTCCCGTGCGACCCAGCTATACCGGTTCAATCATAAATAAGGGACATGACTTCGATACTTCACTAGATTTTGTGTCTCTTTATACTTTATATACAGCAATCCTGAAAATACATTTCTGGGACATCTATAAGGACAAATCCCGAAAAAATCGGGATGACTGGCAACACTAATTACGATCCAACTGTTTATTCTAAAAAAAACAGGAAAGTATTGATGAGAGTATTTCAGATTCTCGTTGTCTTCTTTAGTGCTGTCCTGTTTTGTCCGGATTTTTTTATTGATTTATCGAAGTAGATATGTTGACATTAATTATGTCTTGCGTTGCAAACAGGTTCTGCCAATGTTCAATTGTTGATAACGACGACGTATTGATGTTCCTAGATTCTAATCGATACTCTCACTGACATTTGCAATGTTTTCATAACCGAACCAGTTTCCTCAATTTTTTTTAATTAATCTTCAAACGGTTGACTCATTAATTGAAATATGAACACCAAGAATTCAACGAAATTTTCGAACAGTTTCCGCAAAACTTTCGCCAAATTTGTAACGTGTTTTAACAATGAAAATGCGTTCTTCTTTTGTATAGCGACCCATTTTTGATAACAGCAGATGACTAATGTCAAACATTACAGTTGCCAACTTAAATACAAAATAAAATGGAGGGAAATTTAAAACCGGCGTTCCCGATGGGTCACCTTATATAAGAAAATGAATATAATTGAACAAATACATTATATTCATACATTTTGACTCAATAAATATAATAATTAAAAAAAAACTATTTAGTTTTTAAAGTTTCAGTTTAAGCTAAATATTATGCAATGGTTTCAATCAAATTCTGCAATCATCGATATCTTTACGTTTTGGTAAGTCCCCATTCTTGAGTTTGACTTAAAGTTTTATGTTTATTCTAGAAGTGTTTTGAGCTATTCTCATATCCTTTAATTATATTCTAATATTTGTTGTAATGTACTTAAATTTGAATAAGATTTAGTTTCCAATTATTCCCAAAAATTATATTAAACTATTTATTAAGCAAATATTATATAAACAAACTAAATACTTATTTACAGCAATACCTCTCATAGTGCGGGTAATCCGCCAATATCCTGGTATGTTGGAAACCGGACAATTGATGAACTAAATACATACAAAATATTTTCAAACCGGACTATAGAGAATCCGGCCTAATCGAACCCAAACTATGCGAGGTATCGCCGTATTTGTAACAAACGATTAATAATAGTATCATGGCCTAATTATGTTGGATTGTACAAAATCAATATATGCAGCCAAATCAGTGAATACGACGTAGTTGTGCGGATCGCAGTATTTCCTCTGCAAAGCTAAACTTACCGAAACGATACCTCTTAAATACCATACATTTTCATTTCTGAAGAACATACCACCTCCTGAATCTCCGTTACAAACTGATGTACCTATTAAATAGTTATCATCAAACATTTACGATTTCTTAAATCATTGAAGTATAACCATTTTTGTAACCGGCGCAAAACGTTTTGTTGGTTGTAAATTTTTCGAAAAACTCTGGTTTAGAAGAAACGCAACTTTTTGTATCCACGATTGGCATTTGCGTTTCTTGAAGAACATTTGTTACCTCGTGATTGACTCCAAACCCCCAACCAATAACTGTACCTACAATTAAATAACAAAAAGTTATTAGCAAATATTATATTTTTTTATATTTGAAAATAAATATAGAATAACTAAGATTTTATCTCAAACAATTAATTTAGAACATTCAGGAATTAATACTTTCAAAGAAATTTGAAGATTAATTTAACAATAAGGAAATTAGTTAACTAAATTATTAAACATGCTAAATAATGTATACAAGAAAGTTTTCGTATAAAATATAGTTTTTCAAAATCTGTTTGTTGCTTTTGACATTAAAAAAAAATCACAGTTGTTTGAATCTCTTTTTTGTTTATAATTCAAAGTCTATATGATTTTTATTTTCTAAACATCAAAAATTCGTTTCCAATTTCCAATTACAGTTGTGAAACTTGTTAAGGTTTTAGCCTACATTAATAATAATTTATAACAATCATTATCGAATTTCTTTACAAAAAAAAAAACAATATTTAATTTGAAAAATTATGAAGATTAATTGAGTATTAATTAATTAATTAATTGATTAAATGAGTATCATAATTTTTAGCAATAATTTTGAAAATTTGTAATATTTCTTTAAATGTTGACCCAAATAAATCAATATTATATTAATTCACCAAGAAGATTTTCTTTTTCATTTTCAAGTACGATACAATCAAAATTGCTAAAAAAATTAGTGCATAATTATAATAAATTATCGTTTTTTTCTCTATTGTGAAGTCTTTTTGTGCTGTTTACTTTTAAGCAATTTTAAAGTCCGGTTTCAAACAGTGCGGTATGTTGACGAAACCGATTACAAGCGCATTATGCGAAATTTTGGGGTCTATATCGAAATCCCGACAATATCAAAATCCCGACGATCGAATATAGTCGTTCTTTCGAAAGTTGGGATTTTGATTGACGGAATTTCGAACATGGGGATTTCCATATAGACCAAATTTTTGTTGTATTTTAATATCACTTTAATATATTTTCATGGTCATAAAAGCGAGTCAAGGTCTTTATGAGAAATGTAAGTAAATGTAATCAAATTTGTGATGATTCACAATTTGCCCCGAAAGACAAGAAAATTGTGGCGCTATTTCGCTTAAGCAACAAAATGAATTGTAAGAAAACTGACTCGCTTAACGAGCGACGTTTTGCATAACGAGTGACGACGAGAAGAGTATTTTTGAATATGTTTCACTATACGAGTAAAAATCCGGAAATTTTGGAACGGATTAAACTCGTTAAGTGAGGTTCCACTGTAATGTCTTTAATACATTATTCAAATAAGACTTTTTTCTTTCGTTATTTCATTTCTTCGTCTCAAATTGTTTACATTTCATTTAGTAATTCCCAGTATTTAATTACAGTTAAAAATCTAGAAAATATTGGCGACAATTCTTCAAATATTTTGGATTTGCATATGGAAATATTGGAATCAGTATGCGAATATGTCATGATTTTTATTGGAAAAAAAGTCATTTTTTTAATGTTTCACAGTGAATTGCTTAACATTTGAGTGGTTTTAAGAAATTTACCGATGATTCACATTCATTTCTGTATTTTGATTACCGTCAATCATTAATATTATTTATTATTCGCGACATTCGAAATCCCGAATTTGATTTTTTTTTTATTTATAACAATTCCAATAAAAAAAATTATTTAAAAAAATATTGACTAAAGAGTTTATAAATTCATAAACAAAGTTAAACTGAATATAAAATCTAGATGAAAGGTGAAATTGAAAGAAACTGAGTGACTAAATACGTTGAAAATATATGTAAATACAGCAATACCTCACACAGTCCGGCTTCGATTAGTCCGATTTAAAAAAAAAATTTGATTGAGTAAAATAATAATAAATTTGTACATTTTTGTTAATTCCTCGATTAGTCCGGTTTCAAATAGTCCGGGATATTGACCGAACCGAAACGATATTAGTTTAATTAGCCATAAAATAGAAAAATTACCTAACTTTCCTACTAAAATTTCATCAAATTTCTTCTCCCACAAACAAACTGGTCTTACGAAGTCCGAATAATCCGCACTCTGTGCAAACTTCACCACAGCAATGTCATTATGAAAATAGTTATGATTGTATTCTGGATGGATGCTTATGGTCTCAATCCTTCGAACTTGCATACTAGATTCAATAGTATCTAGCATCGTTCGTCCTATATTCAAATACGTTTACATAATATTAATATCATCATTAATTTCATCATTAAATATACAAACCAAAATATAAAATGAACTCATCTTCTGCGATTTGTTTACTCGTCCCTGGAGCAGTCACGCAATGCGCAACAGTAATTACGTGATTCCTCCCAACCAGACTTCCGCCGCATCTGTATTTAAATGTTGAATCTTCAAGAATGTAAATGGCAACATGCCATGGCCAATCGCCTAAAACCGAATGAAATGATAACAAAAATTTGATTGAGAAGTCTGAAAATGAATTACCTGGCTTTGCATCATTTCCATTGATTATTAAAGCGTTTGCTCCGTTTACTATAGTACCACATGTAGTCACCATCGATTCTTTCTCGAATTCTAAATTTTTTATAGAAATTGAAAGGTTATTTTTACCTATAGACATGTTTTGTATATCATCAGCATTTTCTGTAGTATTACTTCGATTATTCGATTTATCGTCGATCAAACTTAGGAATTTTAGTGCAATTATAAAAATTAATAATGCGCAAGCCATAATTATTGTCAAGACTTTATATATATTTCCATGGCGAAACGTTCTGATTATCTGAAATTAAACAATAGATATATTTGTTAATATTACAATAATTGTATTTTATATTAATCTAATTTTACTAGAAACGATTAATTACAAAGCATTTGTTATTAGTTTGACATTTACAACATGTCAATTACTTGATACTTGCCAAATAAATGTAAAGTATGTGCTGGTATTTTACTTGCATATGGGTGTATAGTAATGTTGCTCTTTAAGGCATTCCCGGGAAATCTCGGAACTCGAGATTTTTTTTTTAGTATATCTATGCCTCGTTTTACACGGTACGTTTTTTACACGGTTTAAAAAAAACAAAATAAATGTTGAAAATAATGATGATAATCAAAAGGAAACATGTTTTTGCCCTTATGTTTGATACAATTGAAAAAAAATCATAATTAATAAACAAAGAAATTATGCGTTTTTTTTTGTATAATTTTCGATTTACACGATTTGCACAGTGTAAATCGAAGAATAGATATACTTTATATTGACAGTTTTATAGTAGATTGAATATTTTGTACTCTTTTTATGCGGTAGATACGTTCCACAGGAAAACGCATTATTAATAAATCGCACAAAAAAGGACTAGACACACGTATAAAAATAAAGGATACGTTCCATAATTTATTTAGAACCGCATAAAACTAAATCAATGAGTTAGAATATACCGAAAAATCGCATAAAAAAGGTTTATTAAATTTCAGAAAAAATAATTAGTCTTACTGTCTTATTTCTTTCTGAAATGTTTCTTCATCATTTTATAGAAAACGTTAACAATCATAGACAAGTTTATTAAATTTCAGAAAAATGTAATGTTAACCTACTACTTCTACAAGATACTAGGTAAATATCGTTTAATATGTACTTGTTTTCTATTTTCTATTTAAAAAATTGCTCCTAAAATAACTTAAAGTCATTTCCATATATATAAGAAACGAAATGCAATTCTCATCATGCGCATATAAAAATGGTTCTAACGTTTGAGATTTGCAGGTGCAGTTGCAGCTGATTCTTCGTGACGATTCGCGACGTTTCGCATTTCCGAACGATTGTTTAAACAATGCAGGTGTTCAAAAATGTACTCTTTTCATGCCCAAATATGGATTTGTTTATACGTACGCACCTGCAGCTGTGATGATTCATCGAGACGCAGGTGTCTGCGAATTATTTTTATCGTCAAATTTCTATGATAATACAATTTTAATAATCCGTAAATACAAGAAATTATTTATAATTACTAAACAATTAATATGTTA